TTTTTTTTTTTTTGTGGTTGGACTCAATGATCTCTGAGGTCCCTTCCAACCACCACAATTCTGTGATTCTGTGATTCTGTAATTCCGTGATGGGCTTCTTCAAGTACGTCAGCCATTAAAGAAAGACATGGGGAAAACGTGGCCCCACTGCTGAGTGAGGTGGGTGCCCTGCTGACAGGACACAGAGAAGGTAGAGTTGCTGAATGACTTTTCTTTGCTTCAGGCTCTTTACTCCAGCGCTCAGGAACCCCAGATCCTGGAGGTAGGAGAGCAAGCCTGGAGCAAGGAAGACTCTCCCTCGATGGCAGAGGATGGGGTTAAAGATCATTTAAGCAAACTTGACACTCACAAGCCCTGATGGGATGCACCCACGAGTGCTGAGGGGACTGGCAGATGTTATTGTGAAGCTGTTCTCTATCATCTTTGAAGAGTCATGGAGAACAGGAGAAGTGCCCGAGGACTGGAGGAAAGCTGATGTCGCACCAGTCTGCAAAAAGGGCAAGAAGGAGGACCTGGAAAACTACAGGCCAGTCAGCCTTACACCCATCCCTAGAAAGGTGATGGAACGGCTGGTTCTGGGTGTCATCTCTAAGCACGTAGAAGAAAAAAACATCATCAGGAGTGGGATACATGGAAGCATGGATTCACCAAGGGGAAATCACACTTGACCAATCTGATGGCCTTCTACAATAGAAAGACTGGCTGAGTGGATGAGGGGAGAGCACTGCATGTTGTCTACCTTGACTTCTGCAAAGCTTTCAACACTGCCTCCCATAATACCCTCATAGGTAAGCTTAGAAAGTGTGGGTTCGATGAGCAGACAGTGAGGTGGGACTGAGAACCGGGTGAATGGCAGAGCTCAGAGGGTTGTGATCAGCGGTGCAGGGTCCGGTTGGAGGCCACCAGAGGTGTTCCCCAGGGGTCGGTACTGTGTCCAGTCTTGTTCAATATATTAATCAATGACCTGGATGAGGGGACAGAGCATACCCTCAGCAAGTTTGCCGATGATACAAAGCTGGGAGGAGTGGCTGACACACCAGAAGGGTGTGTTACCATTCAACAAGATCTGGATAGGCTGGAAAGTTGGACAGTGAGCAACCCGACGAAGTTCAACAAGGGCAAGTGTAGGATGATGCACCTGGAGAAGAATAATCCCATACACTGGTACGGGTTAGTGGCTGGCCTGATGGAAAGCAGCTGTGTACAGAGACCTTGGAGTCCTGGTGGACAACAAGTTGACCATGAGCCAGCAATGTGTCCTCGTGGCCAAAAAGGCCAATGGGGTGCATTAAAAAGAGCACAGCTAGCAGGTAGATGGAGGTCATCCTCCCCCTCTACTCTGCCCTGGTGAGACCCCATCTGGGGGACTGCATCCAGTTCTGGGTTCCCCAGTTCAAGTGGGGGACTGCATCCAGTTCTGGGTTCCTCAGTTCAAAGAGGACAGGGAACTACAGAAAGAGTCCAGCACAAGGGTATGAAGATGATCAAGGGACTGGAGCACCCAGGAAAGGCTGAGAGACCTGGGTCTGTTTAGCTTGGAGAAGACTGAGAGGGGATCTCATCAATGCTTGTAAGTATCTAAAGGACAGGTATCAAAAGGATAGGGTCAGGCTCTTCTCAGTAGTGCCTGATGACAAGACATGGGGCAGCAGACACAAGCTGGAACACAGGAAGTTCCATCTGAACATGCAGAAAAACTTTACTTTGAGGGTAACAGAGCACTGGAAGAGGCTGCCCAGAGAGGTTGTGGAATCTGCTCCTCTGGAGACATTCAAAACCCACCTGGACACGTTTCTGTGCAACCTGCTCTGGCAAAGGGGGTTGAACTAGATTATCTCCAAAGGCCATTCCAATCCCTACAATTCTATGATTCTGTAAGCTCCTCAAATGCCATTTTAAAGTAGTGCAAAAAAAGGAAAGCCACCTCTTCAAAGGCTGCTCAGGTAATATTACCTCCTCATCTGCAAGGCCTTCCTCTTCCATTGCCACTTCTAGCTTCTTCTGCCTGCAAAGGGGAGAAACAGGAAATTGCTTTTTTTATTATTTATTGAAAACAAACATAACACTACAGCGAGACAATGCCCTTACTTCACATATTCCAGATACCAAAGAGTTTGCCTCAAATGGAAATTTGAAGACTTACTGCCCATTCCATTCATTCACTCAGTTGTGATCAAAGCTGTTAAAAATGTATAAGCAACTTTAAGCACATACATATTTGCAGAATTAGGCATTAAAGGTCCAAACATATAATCATTTTCATGACTTAGATTTCTTCATACAATCTTGTTGAAGTAAGGCTGGTTTCATCAGTTCTGATTACGAATCAGAATAAACATGTTTTTTTCCTCACTATTTCTATCTGTACCTCCAACACCTCAGCCAGCTCCAGCTTTCAGCCCCAGTTTTGGCCTTGCTGACCTCTCCCTGGTCACACACCTGGTTCTGCTCCCCTTACCCTAGTGCCAACTAACTCTGCCCCCTGGATTTGACATCCTCTTCTCCCACTGTCCTGCCCAAGCCAGGGCTCACTGGTCCCAGGGCTCTTCCAGCTGGTGCTACGCCAGGCTGGGACAGTCTCATCAGGGAGTGACATCTGGTGGACCCCACAGACACCAGGGGGTCAGCATGTGGCAGTGTGTCCACTAGACCCCTCTTTCTACCTGTGGGTTGCTGTTTTATGACTGTCAGGGTGAAGCTTTCAGAAAGCTCGTTACCCATTAGCAGCAGCCAAGAGTTTGAAGGCTGGGTGCCAGGCTGCTGGTGTCTTTCTGCACTTTGGGAAGTACAGCAGGATCCCCTAAATTAAAAGCCCTCTGTAGACAGTCTATTCTCCTAACTAGAAGCAACTCAATTACATGGGATAATGACTAAATACGACGAGGAGAGAAACCCTGCTGCTCAGCTGAAAACCCCTCAATTAAAAACATATTACCAGGGGAATGATGATTTTCACATGCTGATGACAGTCTGAAACACGAACATTCATTATAATCAAATGCTTGGTGCTTTGACACTTAATTCAAGTAGCATTTCACCATATCAGAGGCAGAATTGGGCACTGATGGGAAAAGTTAAAGCGGAGATGACCAATGACACAAAGAGTAACATTTGACACCACCCAAGAAAAATTCAGATGTAGATATTACATTATGCCCAAAATTCTTCCTGCACACCCATGAGCCTCTCGAACCTTATCAACACCTACAAGTATCTCAAGGGAGGGTTGAAGGAGGAGGGAGCCAGACTCTTTTCAGTGGTTCCCAGTGAGAGGACGAGGGGCAACGGGCACAAGTTGGAACAGAAGAGGTTCCACTCAAATATGAGGAGAAACTTCTTCACAGTGAGGGTGACAGAGCCCTGGAAGAGGCTGCCCAGGGAGGGTGTGGAGTCCCCTTCTTTGGAGATTTTCAAGACCCACCTGGATGCTCCTGAGTAACATGCTCTAGCTCTAGGCAATCCTGCTTCAGCAGGGGAGTTGGACTAGATGATCTCTATGGTCCCTTCCAACTCTAAAAATTCAGTGAAATTCAGTGAAACCCTTCCATCACCAACCCTATGCTCTTTACTGCCCCTTAATTCCACCCTAGGCCACTCTCATCTCTGCCTCCTTCCCTTAGCCCATCACCCTGTCAAACACCTCTCCTATCACTCCTGTTCCTACCTCCTACACACTCCGGGGTTTATAAGTCTTGGCATAAGCTCTGTGCTGCAGAGTGTGAATAGACACCACAGACACCTTACACAAAACCAGGTTACCACCCTCGAGCACCTCTGCAGGGTTTACTCCCTGTGGCTCATGCTGAGGAAGCAGAGTCCACCAACCCCATATTGCAGAAGTAGAAACCTCACACGTGCTGCAAAATAAGACCCTGCACAGAGTGGTTTCTGCAAAACAGTCATAATCTGATGAGGAAAGAAATTGTATGAGAACATCAGAAGGGGAGGTCCTCAGTTACTCAGTGACTGCTTGGTGCAGTAGCAGGGGACGTTCACAGGTCTACCAGGACAACCAGCAACTGGAAGGCAGCTTGTGCCCTCTCGGGATTAGCTCCTAGAAGTTTTTTCTGCACTTGGTAGCACAGAACTGCTCTGTGCAAGGGGATCACAGCACCCTTGAACAAATAACACCAAAAGCCAACCGAGAAAAGCTGAAGAAGGGTGAGAGGAAGCAGAGCCAGTACCTGGTTTCTCTCTCTTCATGCTGTATAATTAGGTTACTGTAGAAGTTCTCCAGTGTGAGTTTGGCCACCGTCACTCTCTCCCGGGTGTGGTTGCTCATGGGAAAGGAGGCTGTAGTTCCTGCAGTCATCGCCATGGTAACATGTACTGAAACAGAGCACGACAAATCATTACTCTCTTGGGAAAAAAAAAATTTAAAAAAAATATTCCTCTTTCCCTCTCTCCATCTCCAAATTCTTAAGACGCTACAGAATTCACGGGAAAGGCAATGTTCTTTAGATATGAAAAAGTCCATTAAAAAACTGTATTATAAAATTATCCCAAGATAGCAGGAGGACATACTACCCACTCTCTAAAAAAATAACAACATGTTGGCAAAACACAGGGTGAATCATAGTAAAGAATTAGGCAGCTCATCCAGCACCACTTGTCCACACATGAGGAAAATGTTCCTCTGGTGGACTTAAGCCCAGCCTCAAGGAGGGAAAGGGGGGAAGTGAGAGGAGGACCAGGCAGCTCCCACAGCTGGGCATCTCACAACTCTATGACAATTTCAGATTCTAGAAATGCTAGATGCTCCCAAAAGGACAGGATGAAATGAAGAAGTAAACAGACAAAAAAAAATCCTAATATCATCCAGAGGAGTAGGTATTTCAAGGTTAGAAGATAGCCATCAAATACCTTTGAATTTTAAAGCCACGCAAAATTGCACGCGGACAGTTGGGGAGGCTTCTAGAAATCATCCCATGAATTAACGGAATTGGCACATTTCAAATGAAAAGCCTCTGTTGTTGGTTTTTTGTTTGGTTGTTTTTTTTTTAAAGCGACAACCAAGCAACCAAGAATAGAAAACCCTTCCCCACCACAAGGCCATTAGGCAACCAGTCTTTCCTTTTGTCTCCTTTCCGGCCACCTCTGTGCCATGCCACCCATGGAACGAGCGGTTTCTGGAGCAGCTGCTTGTTACAGAGCTCCCTGTGTTTGGATTCTCAGATTTGGGGAGAGGGGGAATCAGCTCCTCTCCATCATCAGGGAACGCAGCTGGAAATACATTGGCCACGTAGCTAAAGCACTCATAGGTAGGGCAGGTGGTCACTGAGAACTTCAAAACTGGGAAGAAAGAGGAAAGAAGAAAAGCTGCTCTCTTCGATAGTCTTCATCTTGAACTCACAGAACTTGGATGTGCTAGAACAACGATTTATAGCTGAGAAAAGACATCTTAGGGGAGTCCCGAGTCTCTTGCAGCTGGTCTAAGGAAGCCAGGGGAGATTAAAAAAGAAAAAAAAAAAAAAGCACAGTTTGTCCTAGGACTCACACCCTGCCTGGAAGTGGGCTGAGGCACTTTAAGATCCTCACAGAGGGCAGCCACGAATAGCATCTCAGCCCCACACTCACTTGTTCAGGTTCTTTTGGGGTTGATTTTGGAAAATGACACAGAAACACATACACTTTCTTCTGATTATTTACATAACCCATTCACCAGGGGATTCTGAGGAAGACAAATCCAAAATTAGGTTTATGATCTTCAGGGGAATCCTAATACCTTTTAAGGTGAACTGATTAAAAGTTTCATACAGAAATGAACTTGCATATCCACATCAGACAGGAAGATTGCTTAATTCTACTCTGGGGTTTTTGTTTTGAATTTGCCTGCTACCCTCTGCAAAGATGGATCTTGTGGATTTTTAATTGGATTTGGTGCAACAATAAGATATTTGTTGTTAGAAACGCAGCTGCTGTGTCTCAAATAAAGGCATCCCATAGCATTATGTAGGTATTACTTTAGCTGCGTATTTTGGAGCATGCAAAATGCCAGAGTTCTGAGGTAAAAATGTATTTCTCTATACAATGAAGTTTTAATAGCACTACATCTGCTTTATGCTGACACCAATATTTCTCATTTTTAATCAATCCCCTTTCATTTTGTACTAAAGATGCGAGTTGTCAACTGTTAATCTTTACTAAAAACTAAGGGGTTTATTCTTCACACAAACATGTACCCCTTACTGGACACTTCTTGAAAAGTTGGAGAACTTGGCTCTGCTCTCCATATGGAGTCTGTCATACAATATTACACTCTCTCTCGATAGGTGGGAAAAGATAAATATAAAACAGGTCTCAGAGGAAAACCTATAGTATCTTGACACACCCTAATCAAACAGAGCAACTGCTGACCACATGCTGGCATATGTGATTAAGTTATTTCAAGAAATGACCTAATAGAGTAAAAACCCGCCTTCTGATCATTTTGGAGTGTCAGGATAACATAGCATTAACCCAGGCTTGAAATGGATTAACCTTTACTTAAGGTATAATGAGCACGCTCCAGCACCAGCAAGCAACAGGCTATTTATCCTTTGCATGTCCTGGACTCCTGGTAGGATAAAACAACACTGCAATTTTATTTCCCATCAATTTGTTTTCCCCATGCTCCTTTAGTCACAAATGCACTTGCTACCAAATAGCAAATCTAAGGCACTTCATTTTATGAAGCCTGTAAAAAGGAGATAACAAATCTGGCACTAGCACATCACGCTATAAATAGCGGGGCTGACCCTAACTGTGGTTCTACGGTAGGAAAATATAGAACAGAACCCAACCTGTAAACTAACAAGCTCAGAGAAAGCTATTTAACAAAGAAACTTGTATTGACTTCACTGTCATACCATGACATGAGCCCACCAAAGGAGGGATACATCACCAGAAGCATTTGCTTCCAGCATCCCACATACCCAGCACACCCCCTCCCCAGCCCTGCCCCTGGACCACACAGTCACAGCACTGCATTTCCTTCAGAGTTTAGTTTATATTTCCTTAGTCTCTAATCAGTGGCCCCCGGGTGGCCCCAGTTAGCTCTGTCACTGTAGAGGAAAAAAAAAAAAAAAATAAAAAAAATCAACTTTGTAAAAGCAAGAAGTGCCCTGAGCTCTCCAGGTTCCCCAAAGTAAGTGGAAAAGTGCAGACAGACCCGGCAGAAGACACAAGACACCCCGCAAAATCCTACCTCAACTCACAGCAGAAAAAAAGCTCTTTATCCTTCTTCTTCTCCACTCTCTGCTTCTACTAACAAACCCCCAAACAAAGCACAAATCCACATCCCAGACAAAATATTCAGTTGGGAGTAACCAAGTAAAATCCTTAAGTATGACCTTTATAAACAAATGACGCCAGAGGGGATGGGGGTGGGAAAAAAGAAGCTTCAAAAATGAAGCCCTTTTAAAACTAGAATAGTACTACTGACCTCAGCACGTTATCAGGAATGTTCTGAAAAGGTGGCACCCATAGTTCTTGGAAATGTCCTCAAGAAACTACTAATTCACACAAATTCATGCTGTTTGCATAATGGAACCATTCTAACTCCTGCTGCATCACCAGCCTTGCATTAGGCTCCACCTGGATCACGACCAAGGTCACATTAACCAGCCAGATGTATCTGGCCAAAACTCCCCTGGCTGACAAGGCCCAAAGGCCTTTCTTTCAGGCCTTTCACCAGCTGTGAATGAGACAGACATCAAGCCGACCTAATCGACAGGGGACACTGCGCAGCTCGCAGGACAACATCTTGGAGCTGCCAGAAGCAGAGATGCCATACGTGTGGCTTGGCCCAGACACTGAGCCCGTACATCCTGGAGGGATGGCTGGAGTCCCAGCATGGGCATTTCTCCTGGTGCCTGCTCTGCTCAGCAGCAAGCACCTACAACATGGGCACAGGAGAAAGAGGGCCCAGGTGAACCTCATGAGGTTCAACAAGAGCAAATGCAAGGTTCTGCACCTGGGCCGGAACAATCCTCATCATCAGTACAGGCTGGGGGTGAGGTATTAGGAAGCAGCCCTGAGGAAAGGGACTTGGGGGTGCTGGTGGATGAGAAGCTGGACATGAGCAGGCAGTGGGCACTTGCAGCCCAGAAGGCCAATCCCATCCTGGGCTGCATCAAAAGAAGCGTTGCCAGCAGGTCCAGAGAGGGGATTCTGCCACTTTACTCTGCTCTGGTGAGACCTCACCTGGAGTATTGTGTGCAGGTCTGGAGCCCTCAGTATAAGAAGGACATGGAGAGGGTCCAGAGGATGGAGAGGGTCCAGAGGAGGGCCACAAGGGCGATCAGGAGGATGGAGCACCTCTGCTACGAGGACAGGCTGAGGGAGCTGGGGTTGTTGAGCCTGGAGAGGAGGAGGCTCCGGGGAGACCTAATAGGAGCCTTCCAGTACCTGAAGGGAGCTACAGGAAGGCTGGGGAGAACCTGTTTAGAAAGGCCTGTAGTGACAGGACGAGGGGAAATGGCTTCAAGCTGGAGGGGAACAGATTTAGATTGGAGATGAGGAGAGGGTTCTTCACTGTGAGGGTGGTGGAGCACTGGAACAGGTTGCCCAGGGAGGTGGTTGAGGCCCCTTCCCTGGAGATATTCAAGGAGAGGCTCAAGGAGGCCCTGGGCAACCTGGTCTAGTTGGGGGTGTCCTTGCTGACTGCGGGGAGGTCGGACTAGATGGCCTTTGGAGGTTCCTTCCAGCCTGGACAACTCTATGATTCTATAAGGAGCTTCAGGTGTGGGGTGACCAGGGGACATCGAGACCCGAGAGGCAGGCATAGCAGGGAGGAGATGAAGTAAACGTAAAGCAATCTTTCCAATTATCCTATTTATTAGAAGGTTTCACATTTCTTGAAATACTACAGTAACCTATTTGGTCAGTTCTTGCTTTTTCTTACACTGTCTGCCAGCAAGAGAGCAAACCTGTGCCAGTTAGACAGCCGTGGGTATGACAACTGGGCTTCACGTCCATAAGAATGGGTCTGAAGGTGCCAGTCTCTTTACAGGCAAGTCTTCTGCACAGCTGTGTTATATCATCTAGCTTGTTCTTGCTGTCTAATAAGGCTGGATCTAAACTATCAAATTATTCTGGACTTAAGTCACACAATGCGAATATTCTTATTTTTGAAGCTATGCATGTAGTGTAATTATACAGCACCCCTAGAATACATTTACTGAGGACTCATTACTTAGTGCATATTTAAGTTAGGGAGCAAACATCACATACAACTCTGAGAAAAAAAGCACATTTTTTACCACATGACAGCACAATGCTACTTACGTGCTGCTACTAGGTCTCCAATTGGGCTTTCATAGAATCACAGAATGGTCAGAATTGGAAGGGACCTTAGAGATTATCCGGTTCCAACCCCCCTGCCCTGGGCAGGGACACCTCCCACCAGACCAGGTTGCTCCAAGCCCCATCCAGCCTGGCCTTGAACCCCTCCAGGGATGGGGCAGCCACAGCTTCTCTGGGCAACCTGTCCCAGTGTCTCACCACCCTCACAGCAAAGAGTTTCTTCCTAAGATCTAATCTACTCTCTACCTCTACCCTTTAAAACATAAATGTAATGTTTCCATGTTCAGCAGGACAAGGAACACCAATCCTTTCTCCCAAACCAGCAACATCACTTCACAGAAAGGCTGATAATTTTAATTTATACACCCAAGCATGCCCCTGGAGCCCAGCAATTAGGAAGGCAGTTCACAAGTGCAGTAAAAAAAGGGTAAAACTGCAAAGTTTATAAAGTTTGCATTTCCATTCCAAGGGAACTTGACTCTTGAGTGAAAGCCTCCGGGTAAAGCAGATACTGAAACCTATTTCTGCCTTTCAAAGTTTCCCATTTTCTCGGTATGACACATTTTATCATTCAACTTGCTCCTGAAATGAAGCATATGAATGGCATTTTTGAAGAATTAGAAGACAAAAGAGAAAGGAGAGATAGGCTTTTGGTGCCAGACCTGTTCCTAAGTAAATGCATACAACTCAATAAAGTAAAGTACCTTCAGAAGCACCAGCTCTCACCACCGTGTGTAGCGCTGGAGCTCTTCTGGGTGAGAAGCTAGAGCTGACCTAGTAATGCTGCTGGGCTCTTTAACAACACAGCAAAGCAACTCACAAAACTGGGCACTAAAAATCACCTGTGGCAAGGATTGCATTTAAAGAAAATAGAATAATGAAGTGCTGTCTAGGAAAGTAGGATGGCTACAGCAAGGCTTTAAGTATGAGCACCCGCCCTGCCATCTCCAAATTGTTTGGATTGTCTTAAAGAGAGACAGAAGATATATAGATATATGAAAAAAAACCCCAACCCACCAGAAACAAATGACAGCATGATTCACACCAAAAGGCAGGGACAAATAAATGAAGTAACCAAAGGCTCAGCAGGATGGGGTGATGTGACACACCAGCAAGAGCAAGGGGAAGAGCAGCAGGTGGAGCAGCAGCCACCCTGGGCAACTTCCAAAACATGCAACTCTACTTGGGATGAGCTGACATGCAAAGATTAAAATGTTGTACAGCAGCTGACAGTTCCAAAGATGAAACAGAAGGAGAAAGTGGTCATACTGTGGTACCAGTGCAGAGGGAAAATTACTTTCTGCACTGCAGTTTCTGCTAGAACAAATTTGGCTACCGAGTTGTGCATGTTTTCACCATCCAATTGTTTATAGCAAGCCTCCTCCCAGAGAGGCCTTCTTTTTCTGTGACACACTTTAAATTCACTTCCAAAGCTTTTTAGAAACCTCCAGAAACAAACAAAAAACTACAGGATCCTGAAGTCTCCAAGCAGCAAGCAAATAAGAAAATCCTACTACACCAATCCATGTCAATTATGGGCCAATATTTTTCAACTCTTGGAGCCTGATATTAATACTTGTGTTATTATTAAATACAGATTTCCATGTTCCAAATGAAGCTTTGTCCAAAGTTCACTTATGCCAATAAAAAAAACAACCCTTCTGCTCAATAGGTTTTGACCTGATATTCCTATCCTTGCACCTGGATGATGGTAGCTGTTACAGAAGTTCACAGCTCTCAGTGTGTTCACCAAGCACTGCTCTGGAGTACATTTCAGAGAGAAAAATATTATGTTCCTCCATAATTTATGCTTTCCGTAGTATCACCGTTCACAAACCCCAATTTTACTTAATGTGCTACTTGAAGGAAGCGACATTCCCCACCAATACAACAGATCAGATCCTTTACACACAGATTATTCTTCTTCAATGTTATTGCCAAGACCAGATCTCTCCGATGCCCTCCAGTTTTTACAACAGTCCCCATCTCAGAAAAGACGACGAAACAACTAGACTGCAACAAGCTGTCACTGCCAGCATTTCATTTACCTCATTTATGTATTTCCTTTAGGTTGTTACTCATTCCCCAGTGTGTGTTATATTTTAAGTTTTGCTACTTTAAAGTTAAGTTACAGACTTAATTACATTCGTTCTATTTAAAGCAGCACTAAGAAACCGAGTAAAATTAGCCCTGTCAGAACAGGCTTTGCTATTTAAAAGCATAAGATGTTCAAGTGTTTTAGCCATTTTAAGTCATTCTTGCTTTCCTTGTGGAGCAGCTGGGTGAGTCGCCCCTCACAGACACAGCTGAAAGCTCCAGGGCTCACCCAGCCCCAGCTCCTAAACCAGAAAGAGCCGATGCTCCCAGTGCCTGGCCCCCCACGGCCACAAGAAAACCTTGAGGAGACATTCAGAGACACACAGGACCCAGGGATGGAAATGCTGCCCTGCAGCCTCAACAGCAGCCAACGCTTCTGGCACCAAAGACACCAGGGAAACCTGGGGGACAACGAGGTCTGGGAAGCAACTTGCAGTGTCGGTGGCTGGTCCCAACGTGCCCTCAAAGCCCCAGAAGAGCTTTTCACTCAATGTACCCCAGTAAGAGATGCTTTCAAAATGAAGGAAGTTACTTTTGTTCCTTGGGGTAGACTCCTAAACCTGTAAGTACCCCAAAATGTCTCTAAGTAGACTATGCAAAAAAAAAAAAAAATCCCACCAAAATTCCAAAACCCACCCCAGCCTGCCCAGTAAAGCCCAGGGCTGTACGCACACCGGGCACTGGCGTTAGCCAGTACTGGTTCCCAAACCCAGCCCAGCCTGCCCAGCAAAGCCCAGGGCTGTACGCACACCGGGCACTGGTGTTAGCCAGTACTGGTTCTGAAAGAAGCCATCCCACTTTCCATCAAACCATCTGTTTCTCTT